TTGCACTTGTACTATATTATTATTATTATTATTATTATTATTATTATTATTATTATTATTATCATCTACCAACTTTCTACAGTGTCCAAAAATGATCTTTGATCAACTTATTTGGTGGGAAAATGGGCTAAAAAGAGAAATTTTGTCATGTTGCATAATTTTCCTTATAAGTTTGAATAATTACATTTTCGGTGGTAGATGTAAGATGGCAAGTTTTTGAACGAATTTTGACAAAATGTGAGGTTTTGAAAACAAATAGGGCCTACAGTCGGAAAAGCTAAAAATGGACAATGTGAAATATTGTGAGACGGACGGCCAAGAAATAAAGAAATGTGACTGTGTGAGACGGCAAGCTTAAGCTTTGTTTATAGAGCAACGTGGTTGATTGACTTAGAAAAGTAAACAAAATGCATTTCACGATGAATTCCAACAAACGTACTTATCTTTCCTTCCTCACAACATACTCTCATGAATAATGTAACATTGTGTAAATGTGTATTTTTAACATTAAAATCCGAAAATTTCAAGTTCCTAAGTCAATTTTTAGGAACGCAATCCACGAGAAGTCCAAAGAAAGTCGACTTGATATTATTTTCTTTTTTATTATAACCGATTAGATAATTATGAACTTATGATTCAGTTATTTTGTAGGTAAAGTAAGTCTGTGACTGGAGTTAGACGATGGACTTAACATCAGGGGCGGTTTTACTCTTAGGGGAGCCTGGGCAATTGCTCAGGCTGAACTTTGGGTGCTAAAGGTATATTATTACAATTTTTATAGAAAATTTGGGTGAAAAAAGGGCAAAAATGGAGATTGTGCGACTAGGAAGAAGATGAAAAAAGGCAAAATGGAGATGTGCGGTCGACTTTGAGGTCGGAGCTCGATGGACCGGAGCAGCACCCCAATTTGGTTGCTTGCAAATGGCATATTGGCGTGAAGTCTGCGTATGTATTCTTGTGAAGAAGAAGACACTTATTCAAATGAAATTTCTATCCCCCACTTAAGTGTCATTTGGGCTGAATATTATAATAGGTATTTTGGGTCTTGGTAGTTGTTTCTTGGGCCCGATAGGCTGTAATGATGCTGAGTTCCTTTCCCTACAATAGGTCATTGAAATTGGGCCCGTTTGGACGCACAACTCGCACACCGTGTTCAATCAATTTTCACCGTTTTAGACTCCGTAAATTATTTCGAGCCTATTTTCTGTCAAAATTTAAAATAAAACACCTCGTCATAGCTTAATAAAAATAATTAAATACATAACTAATTATATATTAAACTACGACGAAACGGACACGAAAATCATTGTAAAATACACGTAAAAATGACGCATGTCATACGCGCGAGGGAAGAAGATGAACTAGTAAAGCATTTTTTTTTATTAAGGCATTAAAACGACGTCGTCTTTTGGCTTCCATTTAATTGAAAAATTGGAAGCAAAACGACGTCGTTTATATTAAAAGGTAAAAAAAAATGATATACATATTTTTTCCCCAGTACACATGTACGCAGATACATACAAGGCAAAGAAAAAAAAAAACTCCTCAATTCACAAAGTCTTAAGATCCCCAATTTCTTTTAGAAAAAAAATCCATTAATTCCAAAATTGCTCGTCCGAACACCACCCATCTGCCATCTCTCATCTAATCATCTATTCATCTTCCATCTCTATACTTCTAATGCAAGTGTTTTATATGTCCAACTATTCATATAATTTTTGTTAAAAAAAAATTAAATTTAGATTTATGTTCAATTGTTTGTATTATATTCTTTTTTTTTTTACGGTATTTTCGTCTCGGTCGAGTGGACCTCTCGGTAATTTGTGGTGCGTACTACGTAGAACTCGAGTATGGTATACAATTTATGCAAGAAATTGATTTTTTTGGTAGGCTTAGGGCTGGTATTCTTGAACTCAATTTTTTTGAATGAAGTGAAGTTTTTTTAAAAAAGAGTTCTTTTTTTTTTTTCATTTCATGTGAAATTGCCCAGGCTAATAAATTTTTTTACATCCACCGCTGCTTACCATCTATGGAAGACAAGATGACTTCTTGCGCTAGACGGAGAGTGAGAAACACGGAAATGACATGTATTACCATAAATGAAGGAGCGTAATACGTGAGGAGATGAGAAGAATCTAGATGCAAAATGAAGAGTGGTTATTTACAGAAAGCCGTTGAAGGACGAACTTAGCGTATGCATTGCAGAATAAAGTGTTGTACA